GGGGCTACAAAGGCAAGAAGTGACTGGCTTACAAGCTTTCAAGAGAGCGTGATCCAGAGGGCGTGGAGGAAGGTAAAATCTCCACTGAGTAGTATCCAATCTGTCTAGGCTAGGCCGAGGAAAGGAGATATGGCTAGGTCTTTTGCAATACAATGGTGAATAATTGTTATCAAGACTAATTGTGAGGGCTGGAAATGTAAAGGTAGATGTTTTGTAGCAAAGGGTGGGGAGGGATTAATTTTGCAGTCTAGGGGAGGAGGTCTCTGGGACCATCAAGGGAGAAGAGCAGAGAGCGGAACCCTACCCAGGTAAGCGGTGATGCCAGAGATGGAGGCAGAGATGACGACACGGAGAGATGGAGTGGCTGGGGACTTTGGACCTAGAGAGGGAGAGGGGCTGTGTGCTGATGGACAACTGGGGGCAGGCTCATGGGGTATACCCTGTGGTTGGTGCATGATGCATGAAGGGGATTGTAACCATGGCAAGGAAACGATATATGATGGGATCAATGTGAAGCTAATGTTCTCCCATGTAAATAAACTATCACATAACTCAAAGCATCCTAAATGCTTTAAAAAAAAAAAAAAGATCAAATCAAATGGATTTTCTTTCTTGCATATTCATTAGTTACTTAAGATTAGGTGAAGTTTCATCTTCCTATTTCGACTATAAAATTCTTGTCAGCTTTTTATTTTCCCTGGAGTTTCTAATTGCCTTTTGATTTTCTTGTTAATAAAAGAATCATGTACCTTAACTGTATCCCAAAGTTTTTCAATTCTATTGATCTTGAAATTTACCACAGTCCTCCCTTGTATTCCTACAGATCTCTCCCTTTGTTAAATACCATCGAGTCAGTTCCACCTCACAGTGACCCTGTATAGGTTTCTGAGGCTATTAAGCTTGAACCACTAACTTTGAGGTTTAAACCGACCTTGAGGTCTAGTACTTATCCTACAACACCACACCAGGACTCCAGATAACCCCTAGAACCTTTCATTTTCCTGCTTGGATTGGATCCAATTCCTCCTGACCCGCAAGCACAGTTATCATCACAGAATTTCTTTTCCTTGCTCCACTGGGATCTAGCCACTATCTTTTAGACTCCATGATTTCCTCTCTTTTTGTTGGTTTCCCCCTCTCCCCTCCAACGCCCCTTATTTAGTTAGATAGCACATCCAAGTAATTTTCTAAAAGAAAAATGAGGGGAAACTTTTATGTCTGAAAATGGTTTTATTCTGCTTTCAAACTTGACCATAATTTGACTGGCAAGCAATTTAGGTTCAGAATGTGAAGATACAGTCCTTTGATGATTTCTGTTCTTGGGTTTTTTGTTTTGTTTTGTTTTGCTTGGCTTTTTCTTTTGTTGTTTTTTAACCCTCCGAACATTTTTGGGATCTCTCTTTGTCCATAGAGTTCTAAAATTCTATGAGAATATACAATGTTGTTGTTATGTGCCATCGAGTCAGGTCCAACCCTATGCACAACAGAATGAAACACTGCCCAGTCCTCCTGAGCCACCCTCACAATTATTGTATGTTTGAGCTTTTGTGAGAATATGTCTAAATGTGGGTAATTTTCATTTATCCTGCTTTCTCTTGGTCTCTTTTTTTGTGGGTTGTTGTTTTGGGGGTTTTTTGTCTCATATTTATAAGTCAGGACTTTTTTCTTCTATTATTTCTTTCCCACTTCTATTATTTCAGCCCCACTACATTTCTGAACTTTCTCTCTGGATTTCTATTGGTAAGGCGTAGGACTGTTTGGATGCATCCTCTGTGTTATTAACTTTTCTTTCATTGTTTTCCATCACTCTGGTATCTTGTTCTAGGTTCTGAAAGATCTTCTCAACTTTATCTTCAAATCCTTCTACTGGAACTGTTTATGTCAGCAATTGTAACATTTACTTTCTGCACCAGTGTGGGTTCAATCAGGAGACAGAAACTACACAGTCATTTAAGCAAGGGGAAATTTAATAGAAAGAATTATCAAGCAATGATAGGAGAGTAATTACGAAGCTTTAGCAAAAACTCTAAAGGGTAACCTCAGCTGAAAGGGAATGGCCAAATTAAGACAAACTTCAGAGCTCACTGGAGAAGATGTAGTTGCATCCCACTGGGTGGCAGAGAAGTTTCGTGGATGTTCTGCTCCAGAACTGATCAGTAGTGACAGGTGTCTTAATTACATGGTGCGGCTGTTAAACAGAAATACCACAAGTGGAGGGCTTTTAGAAACAGAAATTTATTTTCTCACAGAACAGGAAGCCAGTTGACAGATTCAGAGCAGCATCTCCAGAGAACGGATTTCTCTGTGTGTAACCTCTGGAGAAAGGTCCTTGTCTCATACATCTGTGAGACTGGTGTTCTTGCAGTCCATCCAGTGGGCAGCAACTACACCTTTCTCAACTACATCTGTGAGCCTGGTGTTCCTTGGCGATCTCCATGTATCTTGACATCGATCTTCCCCAGATCTAGAAGGTTCTCAGCAAGGGGACCCCAGGTCCAAAGGACATGCTCCACTTCCGGCTTTTCTTTCTTGGTGGCAACCAGGTCTCGCCTTCTCCACTTACTGCTCTTTCCTTTTATCTCTTTTAAGATAAAAGGTAAAAGGATGAAAGGATACAATTCTGATGCACAAAGTTCTTCATTTTAAAACCAAACAGTATCCCCTTGTCCACCATTCTTATTCAACCTGGATGCTGAACAAGTAATCCAAGAAGCTGCACTGTATAAAGGAGTGCGTGGCATCAGGATTGGAGGAAGGCCATTAATGACCAGTGATACATAGAAGGCATGACATTGATGCTGAAAATGAAGAGGACTTGAAGCACTTAATGATACAGATTAAAGACAACAGCCTTCAGAATGGATACACCTCGACACAAAGAAAACAAAAATCCTCACGACTGAACCCTTAAGCAACATCACGAAAAATGGAGTAAAGATCGAAACTGTCAATTTCATTTTACTTAGATACACAATCCACACCTGTGGATGCAGCTGTCAAGAAATCAAATGCAGTATGGTACTGGGCACACCTGCTGCAAAAGACTTCTTTAAAATGTTAAATAAAGATGTCATTTTAAGGGCTAAGATGGGCCTGACCATGATATTTTCAATCACCTTATATGCATTTAAAAGCTGGACAATTAAAAAGGAAGAGCAAATAAGAATTCAAGTACTTGAATTATTGTGTTGGTAAAGAATACAGACTAGACCATGGATTCACAGAAAGAACACATCTGTGCTGGAACAAGTGCAGACAGAATGCTCTTTAGACATGAGTATGGTGAGATTTTGCTTCATGTACTCTCCACATGTAATCAGGATGAATCAGTCCCTGGAGAAGAGCATCACACTTGGTAAAACAGAGAATCAGTGAAAAAGAGGAAGCCCTTTTTGACACAGTGACGGCAACACTGGGCTCAGACACAGGATTAGTTGTGAGGATGGCACAAGACCACACAATGTTTCCTTCGATCGTCCATAGGGTTAAACTCAACTTGATGATACCCAACAACAACAGAATAAAAGGGGATGTAGGGCTGCGGGCACTTTAAGTAAGGGCGATGGATTCCAGTCCTGGGGCTGTGCTGTAGGATCAGCACTGGACTGCTAACTGCAAGGCTGGCAGTTCAAATCCACTAGCTGCTCCTTGGAAACCCTTTACAGGGTCGCTATGAGTCGGAACCAGCACTTAACACCAACAACATTCTTATTTCATTAACATAATAAACATAACCTAATCCTGCTTCATTAACCACAGGAAGACGTTTAAGATTTACTATATATCACAAAGTTAACCATCATCATACAATAACCAGCATCATTGCCTAGCCAGATTGACACATATTGGGGTGTGTGTGTGCATAATTCAATCCATGACATCGGCAATCAGGCAAACCCTTAGAAGTGCAGGAGAGCCTATACTGGTGGGCAAGTGACCAGAGGAGTTGGGCATCAAGGTGGATATGACGTCAAGAGCACACAGTGCCCATGCTGAGAGAACCAGAGGAAACAGTCCTCCGGAATACAGGAGAGCCAAGGCTGGAGGGAGTGCACAAAGGCAACCAGGGTGGCCCTGCTAACACAAAGCCTAGAACAAACAGCCTTTCTAGAAATTGTTGAAATCTCTCATCTACTAACGAGCCCCACCACTGTTTTTGTTTTTGTATTTTTGTCAAGAAGTCAAGAATTTACTTATTTTTTGCACACTGACAAAGAGTTTATAAAGTTTATAGTCAATAAAACACACTTGCAAATAAGTAAAAAATTTACCAGCCTAAGAATTTCAAGAAAAAGAATTTTTAAAAAAGAATCATCAGAGACTCTTCTCAAAACACCAAATCTGGATTTTATTCCACTCACTCAGTCTAACCAGTCCAAGACTAACCATAGTTCAAATATGACCTAGTTAGCAGCCAGGGTTGAAGGTCATTTGCCCCACTGGGAAGAGGTACAGCAGTAGGCGACACAGACCTCAGCCCCTTAGTTGGGGTGGGGACTGCTTACCCTGGAGTTGGGCGACCGTCCCAGATGGGCAGAGAGGACTGGCGATGCAGCGGGCACAGGAGTTGGTGACTGGTGTGGCACAGAACATTCCAGGTCGACATGCACAGATTCGGGAGGAGTTCCACGTACAGGGTGTCTTCTCCACAAGGTCAGCTAAGGACACAGAGAAGGGTCACAGAAAAGAGCAAGAGATGGCAAGGGAAAGGGACCCAGAGAACCCCCTTGCCCCAGGGTGGGTGGGTAGAGGGTGAGAGTTGGGGAGGAGGGCAAAAAACAAAACTAAAATAAAATGTTACACGTTTTACAAATGAAGAAGTATAATAATACATTTACATCCATTTGGAAATACTTTACATTCAGTTTTATGGGTGAAAATAGAATTATTACATCTGGAGATTAGAAGAATGTAATTTAGTCAACATGAATATTTCTCAACTGGCAAGATACTTTCAGACCCTGTATGATAAAAATAAAGGTCTTATTTGCAACCTCCATAAAGAGGGTGCCCTGGGAGGACTTGGGGGCTTTGTGCTGAGGGCATGAGGAAGATTAGTAGCAAGTGAGATGCTGGGAGACAAAGATATGAGCGGGAGGCAATTGTTAACGGTTCAAAAACACCAGGCTGGAAAAGAAGAAACAAAGTTATCTGTATTCACAGACGATGACTCTATGTATACAAAATCCCAAAGAAAACAATTTACAAGAAAATTTCTAGAGCTAGTAAAGGAATTTTGGCTTTTAGCACAGTGGTTACGAGTTGGTCTGCTAACCTTGAGGTCAGCTAGCTCGAAACTAGCAGCAGTTCTGTGGGAGAAAGATGAGGCTTTCTGCTCCAATAAAGATTTACAGCCTCAGAAACCCTATACAGAGTCGCTATGAGTCGGAACCGATTCCAAGGCCATAACCACCATTCTATCTTCTCCTTCTTCCTCTCTCCCTTCCCTTTCTTTGTATCTTTTCTGTCTCTACTTTTGTTTTTTATTTTTTATGGTTTCTCCTCTCCTACCTCTTGCTCTTTTTCTCTTTTCTTCTCTTGATCTTTCTTTACTACTCTCTAATTTCTTTCTCTTTTTATCTTCCTGGTCCCTGGTTCTATCTAGTGCTTTGTTTTTAAATATTATCTCTTATTTTTTTTATATAACTCTATTTTACAGTAAACTCTTTACTTAGTTATATTGTTTTTTCTTGTTGCTGCCTGTTTCTTATTTTTTCTCCTTTCTTATTTTCTTTTTCATAATTATTTGTTTTATTTTCTTCTATGTATATATTTTCTCTTCTTGCTACATTTGAAAGGAGACAGAATCTTATTCGGGGGGGAAGTCTTCCTCTTTTTCACTGACCCTCTACTTTTACCAAGCATGGTGTTCTTCATTCCTTCTTCAGGGGCTGGTACCTCCTGATAATATATCCAATGTATGAGAGATGAAGTCTGGTCATCTGGGCTCTAAGGAGCATTCTGATTGTACTTCTTTCAACACAGATTTGTTTGTTCTTCTGGTGTCCATGGTACCATTAAAATTCTTCTCCATCACCATAACTCAAATGCATCATTTTTTCTATGGTCTTCCTTAATCATTGTCCAACTTTCACATGCATATGAGGCTATTGAAAATACCATGGCTTGGGTCAGGTGCATTTTAGTCCTCAAACTGACTGTTTGCCCTCTGACATTTTAAAGAGATCTTGTGCAGCAGATTTGCCTAATGCAATACTTTGTTTGATGTCTTGACTGCTGCTTCCCTGAGTGTTGATGGTGGATCTAAGCAGAATGAAGTCTTTGACAACTTCAATCATTTCTTGATTTATCATGATGTTATTTACTTTTGTTTTCTTTACATTGAGGTGCCACCCATATAGAAGGCTGTGGTCTTTGATCTTCATCAGTAAGTATTTTAAGTCCTCTTCACTTGCAGCAAGGAAGATTTTACCATCTGAATATTACAGGTCATTAATGAGTCTTTCTCTAATCTTGATGCCACGTTTTTCTTCATATAATCCAGCTTCTCACATTATTTGCTCAGCACAGATTGAATAAGCATGGTGAAAGAATACAACCCTGGCACACACCTTTCCTGATTTTAAACCATTCAGTGTCCCTTTGTTCTGTTCAAACAATTATCTCTTGGTCTATGTACAGGTTCCTCATAAGTACAATGAAGTGTTCTGGAATACTCATTTTCTGCAATGCTGTCCATAGCTTGTCATGATCACACAATCAAAAGCCTTTGCATAGTCAATAAAGCCCAGGCAAACATCTTTCTGGTATTCTCTGACATCAGCAACAGTATTCATTGTTACACGTCCTCGTCTGAATCCAGCTTGAACCTTTGACCATTCCCTGTCATTACACTGTTGCAGCCATTTTTGACTTATCTTTAGCAAAATTTTACTTGCCTGTGTCTGATGATTTCCATATTCCATTGAGTCATCTCTCTTTGGAACCGGCACAAATATGGATCTTTTCTAATCAGTTGACCAGGTAGCTGTCTGCCTAATTTCTTGGCATAGATAAGTGAGTGCCTCCAGTGCTGCATCATTTTGTGGGAAGATTTCAATTTGTATTCCATCAATTCATGGAGCCTTGTTCTTTACCAATGCCTTCAGTGCACCTTGGTCTTCCTTCAGTATCATTGGCTCTTGATCGTATTCTACCTCTTAAAATGTTTGAACAGCAACCGTTTCTTTTTGGTATAGTGACTTTGTGTATTCATTCCATCTTTTGATGCTTTCTGCATCACTTTCAATATTTTGTCCAAAGAACCCCTTCAGTATTTCAGTCTGTGGTTTGAATTTTTTCCTTCGATTCTTTCAGCTTGAGAAATGCAGAGCATGTTCTTTCTTCTCTTGGTTTTCCAATTCCAGGTCTTTGTACATTTCATTGTAATATTTGACTTTGTCTTCTTGAGCTGCCTTTTGAAATTTTCTGCTCAGCTCTTTTCCCATCTCATTTTTCCCATTTGCTTTAGCATCTCTATGCTGGAGAGCAAGTTTCTGAGTCTGTTCTGACATCCATTTGGTCTTATTCTTCTTTCTTGTCTCCTTAATGACCTTTTGCTTTCTTTCTGTATGGTGTTCTTGACATCATCTCACAATTCTTCTGATTTCCCATCATTAGTGTCTAATACATCAAATCTGTTCTTGAGACGATCTCTAAATTCAGGTGGGATATCTTCAAGGTCACATTTAGACTTGTTTTAATTTTCTTCAGCTTCAGCCTGAACTTGCATATGAGCAGTTGATGGTCTGTTCCACAGTCTGCCCCTGGACTTGTTTTGGCTAA